AGAAAGAGGGAGGACAGGGCAGCCCAAATCCCTCCATCTTAAAACTTCTGACCCCCATGTACAAAACAGAAACCCCCCTGTACAGGACTCAAAAATTCTTCCTTCTACTTTGTGACTACTTCTACTATAACGTCTAAACTTTTGTGTCTTCTTGTTCTTCCTGCAAGGTTAATAAGTCATTCATGGTTCAAATCCAAAATCACAGCTGTTTCCGGCTGCCTGCCAGGGTCTCAAATGCTTCTGACCTGGGCCCGGAACATCAAAAAATGTCTGAGGGACATTTTGAGTTCTGACAGAGTTGGAACCCCAGGAGCAGCTGAGGGAGCTGGGAAGGGGCTCAGCCTGGAGAAAAGGAGGCTCAGGGGGACCTTGTGGCTCTGCACAGCTCCTGACAGGAGGGGACAGCCGGGGGGTCGGGCTCTGCTCCAGGAACAGGGACAGGAGGAGAGGGAACAGCCTCAGGCTGGACCAGGGCAGGCTCAGGGTAGACACCAGCAGGAATTTCCCCATGGAAAGGGTGCTCAGGCACTGGAAGTTCCCATCCCAGGAGGGGTTTGGAGTCCCCATCCCTGGAGGTGCCCAGGGAAGGGCTGGAGGTGGCACTCAGTGCTCTGGGCTGGGGACAAGGTGGAGATTGGGCCCAGCTTGGAATGAATGGTCTTGGAGGTTTTTTCTAACCTCAGGGATTCTGTGTCAGTGAGTTTTGTTCTGGACATTTTGTTACCTGGGGATGGTCTGCAGTCCCTGAAGGCCGCTCAGCACAGCTCTCAGGGTTGTTCAGAGCTTGCAGGGGGTGTGACATGGCTCCTGATAGGGACACTTTTGCTTGTAGAAATTCAGCTGACCTGTTCTGCTCTTAAAAATAACAGTTTTGCTCCATTGTGGACATAATTCATCCATGTCCAGGAGCTTGGAAAGACTGGATGTGTGTCTGGCACTGGTAAAGTGGCAAACCACATCCAGAGCACCTGAATACTGGAATGTGCCCTAGGAATACAGACAGCAGTGTCCTGGCTCAGTGCTGAGAGCTCAGCTGGATCCCTCCAGGAGTTCTTTGAATTTCAGATAAAGGACTTTTAAACTCTTATTTCCAGGATGGTGTGGAAATGCTGTAATGTGGTTCCAAAGAGCTGAGCACAATCCTGCCCCAGCCTCTGGAGCAATCAGGAGCTGTGACTTTGGCCATCTCTCTAGTCCCTCTGTGCTCTATTAAACTCCAGTTGGCCTGTCAGGGTGAGCAATCACCACATGTTCCTCAGCCTGGTGTTACTGCCTGATAACACTCATTTCACCCCAAAGGTTGTTTAAAAGCTTAATTCATGTCTATAAAAGTGACACTTAATTTCAGTGAAGTTTGGCAAGCTTCTAGATTATCTAAAATTTATCATCTAGAGCAGGATCAGCTCATACCCAACCTTCAGATGAGATGTTCTTGTCCTTTAGTTGGGAGCTGAGCTGACTACTGTGAGCCTGCTCATAATTGAAGGGATCCTTTGCATCTTAGACTGTGGAAATAATAAGTGAATTGGTTTGTTCAGCTGTAATGTCTGAAGGAACACAGGGGTGGGGAACAGCAGGTCCATCAAACATTGGATTGTTTGGAAGGTGCTGTATCCAAATATCCACTTAGAGTTATTGGTCACGAGTCACAGCCCTTCAGAGCAAGGGGGGAATGTGTTCACAGGGAGTCCTGGCACCCACAGCTCCAGACTTGGGGCCATCAGGAGGATGGATTCAAACACTGTTGGCCTTGGCAGAGCCACAGGGACATTGTGGCAGAGCTGCTGGAAGAGTGGAGCTGGCCTGAGCTTCCAGAAGGGAGGCTCAGCAGGAGCTGCAGTGTGGGAGCAGGGCTAGAGACACTCAGGTGGGCTTTGATGACAGTTTTGACATATTTAATTTGAAGATTTGCAGTAAGGATGTGCTGTCCCCATGTGCTGGCACTGCTGAGGTCACACCCCAGTCCTGGGGTCAGATTTGGGCCCTCGCTGCAGAGAGGACATTGAGGGACTGGGGTGTGTCCAGGGCAGGAAACAGAGCTGGAAAAGGGCTGGAGACCCAGAGGAGGCTGAGGGAGCTGGGAAGGGGCTCAGCCTGGAGAAAAGGAGGCTCAGGGGGACCTTGTGGCTCTGCACAGCTCCTGACAGGAGGGGACAGCCGGGGGGTCAGGCTCTGCTCCAGGGAACAGGGACAGGAGGAGAGGGAACGGCCTCAGGCTGGGCCAGGGCAGGCTCAGGGTGGATTTTGGGAAATTTGTCACTGAAAGGGCTGTCCAGGGCAGGGGTGGAGTTCCCACCCCTGGAGGGGTTTAACAGCCCTGTGTGTGTGGCACCTGGGGACAAGGCTGAGTGGGGGTAACGGCTGGACTCAATGATCTCGGGGGGTTTTCTCAGCCAGAACAGTTCTGTGATTTTAGGACACTCCCAGTTTCTTGCTTGACCTTTTGTCCTCTCTTTTGGCCCAGACTGCTCTGCTGCCTCCTTCCCAGCAGTGCAGCCAGTGCTGAAGAATGGCTTTGCAGTGTTGTAGAGTCTCTGCTCACTGGCAGCAGGGGTGGAACAAATGTCTCTCACCTTGGCCTCTGGTATTTTCTCTCATTCCCAAGTGTCAGAAGCTTGGCATGGCCAGCACCTAGTGCTGGGTGACCACACCTTCTCCCAGTTCCCCACATGGTGCAGGACCCCAGTTCTGTGTCTTTAGGGTTGTGCACATCTCTGCTGCTCCCTCCTGTCACCACAGCTGGGACTCCTGGCAGTGACAGAGATGAGTAACCCCCCTGTCATCCCCGGAGCTGGCTGGCGTGTGTAAGACTGTTTGGATGTTGAACATGTACAATTTTCTTGGCCTTTAAAGGAAGCTGTGGGTGCTCCACATGTGGAAGTCGATTTAAGGAACCTAAGAGAAAATGCTGGAGCTCTGGAGCTTGGCACCTTGCTTCCTCTCTTCCCTCAAACAGTTCAGGAGCAGATCTGGGTGGGCATGTCCTATTTCCAATGTAATTTTGCTGCAAAACCCATTTGAAAGCAGCGATGTTTCTGTTACTGACAAGTGATCTGTGAGAGAATAATCTTATATGACTGATGGTGCTGAATTTGGAGAAATGGGAAAAATAAGGCTTGGACTGTGCTGGGTGACAGCAGCAGAGTGTGCCTTGGACAGCTGTATTAGAGGGAGGAGGAATGCAGCACCTTTCAGCTGCTCATCCACAAAGGACACACATTTTAGCAGAGAGGTCTCAGCTGAGATTAGACCTTGCTGGACAAGCTGTTTGCAGAGAAAAGCTGCAGAAAGAGGCAGGACAGAGCCAGGGCAGGGAAGTGTTGGGTTCCAGCCACGTGCAGCTCTGTGTGTGTGGCTGTGTCCCTGGAACCTGCACCAGCTTCCTCTGAGTCTGAGTCAGTCTGAGGGAAAGGTGGCTCCAGGACTGCACATGGCTTTGGGGACTGTCTTAGCAGGGCTGTCACAGAATCCCAGAACAGTTTGGGCTGGAGGGGACTTTAAGGGAACAAGGCAGGGACAGCTCCCACTGTCCCAGGCTGCTCCAAGCCCTGTCCAGCCTGGCCTTGGGCACTGCCAGGGATCCAGGAGCAGCCACAGCTGCTCTGGGCACCTGTGCCAGGGCCTGCCCACCCTCCCAGGAGCAATTCTTAATTCCCAGTATCCCATCCATCCCTGCCCTCTGGCAGTGGGAGCCATTCCCTGTGTCCTGTCCCTCCATCCCTTGTCCCAAGTCCCTGTCCCACCTTCTGCCTGTATATTCCAGTGTGAGGAGATGGATCAAACACCATCAAGTGGAGTGGGCAGAGGAGCCTGGGTAGGTCCCTGCTGGGTTGGAGTGGCAGGAGCAGAGCATTGTTTGGCTGCCTGTTAGCCCTGTCTGTGTGCACTCAGTTTAATTTCTGCCTGCTGCAGCTGGTGTGGCAGCTGCTGCTCCTGCACTTCCTGGCTGGCTCTGTGTCCTTGCAGGTGTGGTGGACTTTGGGATGCAGTTGCTCTCTCCTTGCTTTGGGACCTTGCTGTGCCAGAGCAGCTCAGGGACAGACGAGCAGGGCAGGGCAGTTGTGCTGCTGCTGTGGAGGAGCTGAAGGCCAGTTTGCTGAGGTGAAGGCTTTTTCCCTGTTAAGTTTGTGCTGGTTGGCAGGAAGGAGACTTATTTTTTCCTTGTCTTGAAAGTGTTAAAAAGAGCAGCAGAAAGGTGCAGGAGGCAGCTGAGAGGTGCTGAGTTTGGGGACAGCCAGGCCAGTGATGTGTGAATGTCGCTGTGAGGAACACAGTGAGGTGTCTCAAATCCCTCTTATTTTTATGCTGATTTTGGAGGGATTTTTAATCCTTCAGACATATTGGCCTCTAAGCACTTTTCTCAAAGAGGAATATAGCCCCACTCGGGCAGTTTGGGTAATAATAGCGCTTAGTGCTTAACGAACATTGTGCAATTAATCCTCCAGGACCCATTGGAATAGAATTGTGTTGATCTTGGCTGGGGACTGAGGAGCTGATCTGAGCTCAGCTTTCCTTTGGGTGTGGAGGAGCAGCTCCCTCCGTGGAACTGGTGAAGCTGAGGTGGGGTTCAGGCTGAGCCCTGGTTGTGTTCCACTCCTGTGCCCTCCCTCCTGCGGGCTGGGACAGGGATCCTGGGTGCTGGGTGGGAGCTGTTGTGGGGTCAGGGGCCTGGGACACGCTCCTCGTTCCCTGTCCTGCTCTGGGTCTGTGAGCTGTCCCTGGGCTAGCCAGGCTCTGCCATCCTGTCCATGCAGGAGTCCCCTGGGCACCTGATTCAAACCAGACTCAGCAATATCAATGCATGTCCCATAAAAGAAACCATTTGCAGTTGGCTGAGGTCCCTGGACACTGCCATTGCTGGTGGTGTCACCTTGGGGCCAGTGGGGAAGAGCAGCATTGAGTCCATGGTGTCAGTCACTCTAGATAGCACTTGGTATGTTTTGGGTGTCAATTCTTGCAGGCTGAACTCAATTGTTTGATGATTTGTGCTTTGTTTTCAGGTTATAAACTCATTGGGAGCCATTCTGGGGTGAAGCTCTGCCGATGGACAAAGGTACATTCTGTTTCCTTCTCTCATTTCATACATAAAAACAATGCTAGAGACTTGCTCAGGTATTCCAATTTCCTGGTGAATTATCATTTTAAAACGTGCTATTATTTGCACAAACCCAAATTCCATCTTTCAAGCTATAACCTTGCATTTCCAGTTATTAAAACCCCTTTGCAAAGAGTGAGAACAGAGTTGTGACATAGAGCTGGGAACATCCTTTTCTGGTTTTTCCTGTTGTTCTGCTGTCTACTAAAACATCTTCTGCCCACTGCAATCCATGTGAGGGAAGAGTGGGAAGTTTGTATCCCTGGTGTGAGGTTGTGGAACAGGGGTACCACAGCCATTGCCACACCTGAGGCTGTTTGAACCCCCTGTGCTGGGGATGGGTTGTGACAGTCAGGGTTCCTCTGGTTCTCAGCATTTATCAGATCAGATTTGCAGGGGAGGTGTTAATGATTCCACTGTTGCTAATGATTTCCCTGCTCTGTGGGGTGAGTGTGGATGTGGCTGTGTACTACACCTGTGGGTATGAGTGCACCTGTGTGACACAGCCTCCTCCCAGCCCTGCATGTGGATCCTGGAGGAGCTGGAACTTCAAGCAGTTTCCAGACTTAAAAATATTCCCAGCAGAGGCACAGAGCCCTCGATAATAAACTGCAGCCCCTTCAGGGTAGGTGTGGTTTCAGCTATCCTTGGCATGGCCCTCTGGAGCTCACAAGTCTCTAATGTTGTATATTTGGGGAGCAGTATTGATCAGAGAATCATTAAGGATGGAAAAGCCCTCAGATCATCGAGTCCAACCACTCCCCCAGCGCTGCCAAGGCCACCACTGCCCCATGTCCCCAAGGACCCACAGGGCTGTTAAACCCCTCCAGGGGTGGGGACTCCACCACTGCCCTGGGCAGCTGTGCCAGGGCTGGACAATGAATTCCAGGAAGGAATTTCCCCAAAATCCACCCTGATCCTGCCCTGGCCCAGCCTGAGGCTGTTCCCTCTCCTCCTGTCCCTGTTCCCTGGAGCAGAGCCCGACCCCCCGGCTGTCCCCTCCTGTCAGGAGCTGTGCAGAGCCACAAGGTCCCCCTGAGCCTCCTTTTCTCCAGGCTGAGCCCCTTCCCAGCTCCCTCAGCTGCTCCTGGGGCTCAGCCCTTCACCCACCATGTTGCAACATCCTGCACCCTTGAGCATCCCTGGATGGGAACCTCTGGAATCAGCACCTTGTTAAGATGCCAGCACATCTGTAATTCCTGTGCTGTGGCAGTGATCAGTCCTGGCTGGCTGAGCTCTCCTTTGCTGCATGATTAACTTTGTTTATTTTTGAAAGAGCCCTTAGGATGCCATCCCAGGGTGGCTGCAGAGAGTTTTCATTGCAGTGCCTGGTGTCAATGAAGTGTTTCAAGAGCCTTATTCTCCTGAGCAGCATAGAGAGCCCACCCTGGGCTGTCAGGAGTGTGTGGGATGCACTGATCCCACTGCTGGTCACTCTTACACCCATTTCCCTCTTCTCTGGTTGTTAGTGGCAGACATGATCACAAAACATTTAAAGAAAAACTTGCCAAACTTCCATGTTTTGACTGAGAAAGGCAGGGAACCTATTTTTATGAACGACCCAGACTTTAATGCAGCACTGTAAAGCCATTTCACAAAATAAATAGCAGCTCTGTGTGCTTAGATGGGCTCACACTATTTTTAGCTTAAGCAGGAATTGAATGTAAAGTCTTCTAATAAAACGGAGCTGAAATTGGTTCCAGGCAGTGGCTTTGCCTCAAGTTCACACCAGTGTGTGAGAGCCTTCAGGAGCCTTTGTGGAGATTTATATCAGAGGAAAGCAGGAGCAGGGCTGGCAGGATAACTATCAAGTGGAGTTTCATAGAGGTATCTCAGATGGAAAAGATTTGGTTCTGTCAAATTCCAGAAAAAACAGAAACCCTGTATGTTTTAGGAAGAGTCTGTTTGCCTTAGGAAAAGTCAAATATAACTTGCTCTCCTGAATTTGTGAATCTCCTGAAGTCTCTCTCATTTGAAGAATGGGTAGAATCAACAGCACTTTCCATGTCATTTAATATTCCACCTGTACAGCCAGTTAGGTTTAGCTGTAGATTTTTCCCTGCTGCTCCTTTCTGTTGGATCACCAGGACTCTCCAGGAAGAGGAAGACAGATTGAAAGCTGCTGTGTTTTATTTCAGATTTTCCCTTGAGAGTAGTAAAGTTTCTTTCTAATTTATTATTATTTAACTGAGCTAATGAAAGACAGCCTTTTCTGCAAGCAGCCTGCATGATAAATAGGAGTTGAATCCTGTTGGGAAAGCTGCTGTGGCTGTGCAGGGAAGGGAAGTGCAGCCTCCTGCTGGAGCCACTGCCGGCTCTGAATGAGGGTTTATAAGGTCAGGGCATTTATTTAATTTAGTGCTGCAAGAAATACTCTGCCAGATAAATGAAAAGAATGGAGTGTTCAGCAGGACAGGCTTGAAATGGATCCTTGTTGCTTCTGAGTGGGCTTTTCCAGGAACACTTCCTGCAGCTCAAGAGGCTTCACCTGCTCTTCATGGGCTGAGGCTGAAAGGCTGCAGGAGAGCACATTGATGTGCTGGGGTTTGCCAGAGAAGGGACTGAGCAGCTTAAGGGTCTTTCTCCTCTAACACAGGGATGAGTTTGATCTCCTAAATGCAGTCTGGCTGCAAGGGTGCATGTAGTGAGTCACGTTTTTTAGGGAGCTGGGAATTTTTTGGGGCAGGTGGCACTGGTGTCCCTCAGCCCTGCTCAGGGCATTGCTGGACTTGGAGCTGAAGTCAGAGGTGGCTGAAGGGAGCAGATCCACAGCCACCCTCAGTTTGGCTCCACATGGGGAATTTTAACTCTTCTGGTGTGTGTGTGTGTGTGTGTGTGTGTGTGTGTGTGTGTGTGTGTGTGTGTATGTGTATGGGGAATTTTAACTCTCCTGTTGTGTGTGTGTATGTGTGGGGAATTTTAACTCTCCTGTTGTTTGTTTGTGTGTGTGTGTATATGGGGAATTTTAACTCTCCTGTTGTGTGTTTGTGTGTGTGTATGGGAAATTTTAACTCTTCTGTTGTGTGTGTGTGTGTGTACATGGGAAATTTTAACTCACCTGTTGTGTGTTTGTTTGTTTGTGTGTGTGCCTCCAGTTTGGTTCCAGCTGGGTTTTTAGCTCTCCTGGTGTGTGTGTGTGTTCTCCTGCCCTCAGTTTGGTCCTATAAGGGTTTTTAGCTCTCCTCTGTGTGTGTGTGTGTGTGTGCCCTCAGTTTGGTCCTATAAGGGTTTTTAGCTCTCCTATGTGTCTGTGTGTGTGTGTGTCTGTGCCCTCAGTTTGGTTCCAGCTGGGTTTTTAGCTCTCCTGGTGGTGTGTGTGTTCCCCTGCCCTCAGTTTGGCCCCAGGCAGGTTTTTAACACTCGCTGTGTGTTTCCCTGCCCTCAGTCGATGCTGCGGGGCCGCGGGGGCTGCTACAAGCACACCTTCTATGGCATTGAGAGCCACCGCTGCATGGAGGCCACCCCCAGCCTGGCCTGTGCCAACAAGTGTGTCTTCTGCTGGAGGTAAGGCACCCGTGGGCTCTGGCCAGGGTGGGACACTGCCAGCTGTCCCTGAGCCAGCTGTGCTCTGGGAGTCTGGGCTGGGTGTGCTGTGTGGACCCCCGAGGTGCTGAGCAAATCTGTGTCTTTGGAAACGGGACCAATGTCCATATTTCATGTACCTTCACCCCCACCAATTCCACTGCTCTAAACAAGTGAAAAGTGATCATTCGGTGACTGTTGCCTTCTTAAAACAGCAGCTGATAAATCCCAGAAACACTGGGGTAGGAAGAGCCATCCAGGATCACCCAGTCCAAACTGTGCCCCAGCCCCACCTTGTCACAGCCCAGAGTGCTGAGTGCCACATCCAGCCCTTCCTTGGGCACCTGCAGGAATGTGGACTCCAAATCTCCCTGGGCAGCCCCTGCCAAGGCCTGAGCACCTTTCCATGGGGAAATTCCTGCTGATGTCCACCCTGAGCTCCCCTGGCCCAGCCTGAGGCCGTTCCCTCTCCTCCTGTCCCTGTTCCCTGGAGCAGAGCCCGACCCCCCGGCTGTCCCCTCCTGTCAGGAGCTGTGCAGAGCCACAAGGTCCCCCCTGAGCCTCCTTCTTTCCAGGCAGGACAACCTATCTTCAACTCAGTAACTTCCTATTGGTAAGGAAAGTCTCCCCTTTCCTCAGAGAACTGACTTTGTGGTGAAATCCTGAAGGAAAGGAGCTGTGCTGGATCAGAGCTTCTCTAGCACTACTCACTCACTCCTGCCTGAGCTTCCAAGGGAGGTGTGTGCCAGGCTGGGGGAGTGCAGGGTGGGATTGGGAAAAGAGGCTGAGGTTCAGCAGAAATGCCAGCAGTGACGTGAGAGCGTCTGCAGTGGGAGGAGAGGGAGGTTGTGCTTTGAGCTCTTTTGTTTTCCACCCTGCTAAGTCATCCCATGGGAGCTGTATTTCCTCTGGGACTCAAACCTTACCTCAGGCTGCCAATAACACCCATTCCATCCCCCAGCTTGGGGGATGGTGGTCCAGCATCCCAGTGAGTATTCTCTGAGCACCTGAACCTGTGGAAGGTGTCCCTGCCATGGCAGGGGTGGAATGACATGGGCCTGAAGGTTCCTTCCCATCCAAACCATTCTGGGATTGTTGATAATATTTCCATGCAGAGCCATCCAAATTCCTCTGAGTGCCCCTTTCTGTCTTCCATAGTTCTCAGGTTTTAATAATGCAGGTATTTCATGGGGTCATTTAAAGGACTTCCCTAACCTGGTGGGTGCTAGGAAGCTGTCTCCCATGTTAAATGTGAGCACTGGACACAGGGCATCCTGTGCAGCTTGCATTTGGGAGTCTGTTCCAAAGGGTTTCTTGGTGCTCTGGATGGGCTTTCCTCATCCTGGGCTTTCCTGGCTGGGAAGGAGACAGCAAATGGCACCTTTAATGTGCAGCTTCTGCTTTGCTTCAGAGCAGGGCAGTGCCTGGCCAGGAAAACCTTCTGCTTGTGTCTGTTTTCCATGTGGTGTTCATGGAGTCCTGCAGTGGGACTGTGCTGCGAGGGACACTGCCCTGCCTGTGCTTATCCCTCTGTCCCCACACACAAGGCACATCCCAAACAGCAAACAAGAAGTGGTCAGGATGAGGGGCTTTGTTCCCAGCATTGCTCCACAGAGCATTTCCCAGTTTCTCTTCCAAATGCCCTCATTCAGGAATTTTTGGTAGCAGCCTGGATGTGGAATAGGCTGAATCAGGGCAATCCAGCAGGTGTGAACTGGAGAGTGCAGAAACTGATAGATGAGATAGTACAGATTTATCAATAATTGATAAATCAGTCCATTAGTGTAGAGACCTGGAGAAGGTGGCACTGTTCCCTGTTTCTCTAACTCATCATCCTGTCACTGTCACTTGTCACTTCAGAGGGATCTGGCAGCAGCAGCAGCCTGATGACAATGAGTGCTGATTTTCCTGCTGGCTCCAACCTGAGTACAAGGAAACGGCTTCCCAGGGCACTGAGCTCAGAGGTTTCAGCATTGATTCATTTATTTCCCTGCTCTGGGTGAGGTGGGTGGCAGGTGTTGGACTCTCCCATATGGAATGCAGCTGGCTATCTTCATCCTTCCCTGGAAACTGGATGGTTTAAGTTGGAAGATGTAAGGCTCAGTTTGAGGCTCATCTCAGGACATTAAGCTTGACTTAAACCAGAGCTGCTGCTGAAATAAGGTTTCTTTTTGGTGATTTTTTCCAGCTCCTATGCCTGGGCTGCTGCAGCCTTCCAGGGCTGTGAGAGGGATCTTCCCTCCCTCCTTGCCACACCCAATTCCCACTGATCCTATGCCACCCCAGCTCCCAAACCTTGTAGTCAGGCCTATCTGTGCTTCTTGTTTTATCCCCCACACCTTGTGTGTGAGACTGAAGTGGAACTGCAGGCCCTGATGGCTGGGCAGGATAAACAAGGCAGCTCCTGAGCAGCAGGTGCCATCTGTGCTGCTGCAGACATGTGAAATCCCAGTTTTGATCTGCTTCTGGCAGTATGTTGTTCATAGAGGTTTTGTGCTGGGCTCCTTGTGCGGCTCTGCATGCTGCCTTGCAGATAAGGCTGCTGGGATTCTTTCTTCTTGATCTCTTCTTTCAGGATTTTAACAATTTCAGGATTCTGCCAGTGTTTCCAACAACCACCGAGCTCTCCCTGGGTAGCTGAAGGAAAGGCCAAGGAGCCTGTTTATTTTCTCTTCCTCACTTTGGCAAGAATGCTGCAGTTCAGCTGCTCTCCCTGGGAATTGGATATCACTGGAGTTGGCTGGTCTTGACTGACACATTTTGGCCCCAAACCAGTACTCATGGAATCACAGACTGGTTTGGGTTGGGGCCTTAAAGGGCATCAGCTCCAGCTGCTGTGGGCAGAACACCTCCACTAGAGCTCCTGGGTGGAGCCAGTATCCAAACATCCTCAGAAAATGAGGGGATTTTGTCAGAGGTGTGGCTTCACACTGCACTGGATGCTCTTCTTGTCCCCCTTGCCCCGGGAGCTGTCACAGCTGCCAGGGCCCCCTCCCTGCCTGTCCCCTTCAGAGAGCTTGGTGATGTGGGGTTATGGGGCAGCTTTCTGTGGGGACAGGAAAAGCAGACTGGAAGCTGGGCCAGGGCAGGGTTAGCTTGGATTTCAGGGCAAGGTTCTTCCTTCAGAGGGTGCTGGCACTGCCCAGGGAATGGGCACGGCCCTGAGGCTGCCAGAGCTCCAGGAGCTCCAGGGATGCCCAGGCTGGGATTGCTGGGGTGTCTGTGATGGGAAAGAAGCTGGATTGCATGATCCTTAGGAGTCCCTTCCAGCTCAGGACATTCCATGATTCTCCAAGGTGGATTGTTTGATGTCCCCCAATGCTATTCCATCAAAAGCACTGAGGAGGACACCCCACACCTGAATTACTGCAACATCCCCAGTCATAATCCTGTCCTCCAAGAGAGTCTATCCCTTTCCATCCCTGCTCCCAGCTGCTCTCACTGAGGCTGTGTCTCTTTGGCTTAATTGCCTAAATGGAAATGTACAAGTGACCAAATCTTTTAATCAATTAGAGCAAGTGTGGGTTCAGAGCTCTGTGACACCTCCCTGCAGCACAGGCACCAGGCAGACCTGATTTGATGAGGATTTTTGGCTCAGTGTCCAAAGCCCAATCAATTATTGTGGAGAGATGGAACAGCTAAATAAGATTTAAATTAATATGGTTTATTACTTTTGCATCTGAGGAGGCAGCAAACCAGACAGAGTGAAATATCCTATGAAGAAATTGGCTCATATTTCTTTTGCTGTAACTTTCATGCTTTTACGTGTGCTTGGAGGTTTCAGGTTATGCTTGTAGACAGCAACTGAAGTTGTGTTCAGACATTAAATCAGTGGGTGGCCCAAAGCCAGGCATCACAGTAAGCCCTGCAAAATACAGAGATTAAAAATTAATAATCTGTCATAAGAGAAGTACTTAAGGTCTTTAAAAAATTAAGAAGAAACTGAAAACAGATGAAAACAAAAGCTTCTCCTCAATATCTAACTTGATTCCAGAGGGTAAATTCCTCGGGGAAATGGGGAGTATTGATATCAAAGGAGTGAACACTGCGGGTTTGGAACACCTGGAAGCTGAGCCTGAAAGCTCAGAGTCTCTGAGCACATCCAGCCCCCAGGCCCTGGTTCTGCCCAGCTGCTGCTCTTTTCTCCCAGGGTTTCAGTTTGGTTATGGTTTTGTATCCAGAATGGATTGGTTGTGACCAAGGTTCATCCCTCATATTGGATTTTTCATTGGTTTGTTGAATTTTGGGCCTGTCTGCCAGGAGCTCCTGAAATGACTAAATAATTGGGGTGAGGGACAGCACATTAGTGTGCCCAGTACATGCCCCTGGTAAAAAAAGTGGTAAAAAAAAGTCTCAGTGCCTTCATGTGCTGCTCTACCAGCTTTGACATCTGAGGTGTTTTTAGGAGAAAATGTTTATGTGTGGGTTGAAATATCTGATTTTCATTTTATAGCACTTTGCGACCTCTTGGACTTGGGCTTCTTGAAGGTCCTGGGACTTGTTACAATCAGCTCCCAAATTTATGGCCTCAGTAGTGAATATAAGCAGATTATGGGCTGTGAAATGTCCACGGTGGGCCTTGGGTGTCCCTGCAGGGGATGGTGCCAGGTCCAGCAGTCACTCATGCAGGCGGTGACTGGGGGCTTTTAAAGGGAATTTACACATTTTGACATCCAGGTGAGTTTTGGAATGGTCTGGGAAGCTGTGCTGAGCAAGGTTCAGGTATGGGATGGGTGGGTGGATACAAGCACAGGACACTGAACATCACCTGCCTTTCAGGAGATCCTGCTCTTTAGAAAGGGAGCGTCTCAGAGTTGGGATGGAGCTGAAATGCTGAAAATCATCTTTAAGGTTTCAATTGGAAGGGAATCACAGAATTCTTTTGGTTGGAAAAGCCCTCTCAAGATCTTTGAGTCCAGTTGCTCCCCCGGCACTGCCAAGGCCACCAGACCTGTCCTCAAGTGCTACATCCATGGGACTTTTAAACCTCTCCACCTCACTGCCCTGTGACAACCCTTTCCTTGAAGAAATTTCCCTTAATATCCAGTCTAAGCCACCCCTGGCACCCTCTGGTCCTGTCAGCCAATTTATCCAGCCTGCTCCAGGGTGACTTTAACCATCCTAGGGAAAACTTTGAATTCAGATTCTGTATCTTAGTCCTGATCTCTGCTCAGCCCAGGCTGGGCTCCTCCTGTTGCTCTCAGGAGGTGCAGAAGAAAAGGTACAGCCAGGTTTATTTTTGTACCAGCAGGAACATTAAACTTGGTTGGCTTGTGCATTAGTCAATCTTTTTTTGTGGTCTCCCTCTTTCTCCTCCCATCATTCCGGGGAAAGTCCTTAGGATATCTTTTGTGTGTCCTTTCCTGGTCATGGCTGATGTTTTGCCTTCCCCTTTCTGCTGATGCCCCTGTGTTTTTGTGCTCCTTCTTTTGTTTGCAGCTGGAGACTCATGAGGCTGCAGAAGAGCAGATTGATTTTTGTTGTTTTGTCTTTGCTTTTTATTGCTGCAGTTTGCACTTCTGCCTTAATAGGGCTTCTAAAACTGCCAATTCTCCTGAAGTTCTTTTCCCTTAAGCTCTTCTCCTCTGGGATCTCCCTGCTGGCTCTTAGGGTTCACTGATACTTCTTCTTGACCTCTTCTTATTTTTATTCTGCTCCTGCCCTCCCTGGGAGTGATGTGCTCTGTCCTCTCATGTCACTGCCACCAGCACTTCCTCACCTTCCTGTTCCCCACCAGGTATCACCCTGACTCAGTCAATGCCTGCAGTAAATGATATTTTATGCCTGAGCTGTCTCTGCCTTCAGAGCTTCTTAATGACCAGTTGCAGAATGTATAAAGCAAAAGCTGACTCATTAAAATAGCCCCCAAGCAACTGGGGAGGCAAATCACAGCCCTGGGAAGCTGCACCTTCACAGGGGTCCCAGAACCTGCCAGGGACACTGGGAATGCTGTCCCAGGCTCCTGGTGGATCAGAAATGTGCTGAGACTGCAGGGGAAGTTGGATGGGAGCAGGCTGGGTGGCTGGGGAGATTCCAGGGCAGCCAGCAGGAGCTTCCCATCGTGTTCCCTGCAGCTGTGGGGCTGTGGCACTGAGGTGTCTCTGAAGGAGTACACCAAACCTGTTTCACACCTGGAATCTCTGCTAAAATCAGGGTTTTTTGCTGTGTGTGGGTTTGGGTGAGATTTCATTTTACTTGTGTTACTTTGGGAAGGAAGGAAGGAATCCCTGACACAAATTCCTGCTCAGTGCTGGTGTAGCCAGAGGTGGGTGATGGGAGCTCACAGAGCCTGGGGGCAGTGGGAAGGTGGCTCTGATACCTCCTGAGCCCAAGGCATTACTGCTTTATCCTCCTCTTGGCAGGGAACCTCCTTTTTGCCAAATAAGCAGCTCTGTAGACCTGACCTGGTGTGTTTATTAAACAGTAGGATGTGTTAAAAATGCAGGGCCTGTTGGACACTAATAGGTGTCCAGGGTGCACCCAGAGCCTATTGATTTCCTGCCAGCTGGCCCTATTAAATATACAAGGTACAAGTTTTGCAGTTAAACATGGAAAAGTTTTATAAATGCCTTTTATAGTTGACATTCAGAAAACTTTCCATGTTGCCAGATGGGGAAATAAACGGGAAATTCAAAAAGCTGTTTTGGCTTAAAGTATATCCTTGAGGTGGTGAAGTTTGAGAACAGTGTTTGAATCTTTGCTCTTGAAGTGGATGAAGAAATGTTTGGGCCAAAGGCCTGATTTTATTGAACCTGGGTTTGGAGTTTGTTTTAGGACTATCAGACAGTGCAGGTGTTTCTCACTCGGAGAGTTTCAGAATCCCAGACTGGTTTGGGTTGGAAGGGACCTTAAAGCCCATCCAGTGCCACCCCTGCCATGGCAGGGACACCTCCCATGTCCCAGGCTGCTCCAGCCCTGTCCAGCCTGGCCTTGGGCACTGCCAGGGATCCAGGGGCAGCCACAGCTGCTCTGGGCACCTGTGGCAGGGCCTGCCCAGCCTCACATTGTTATAGTGACAATGTTAGTAATGGTGCCTTATGGACTTTACTGGGCATGACAAATGATGAACAAGGCCATCAAAGAAGGTTTTCCAGTTGAGAGAGGGGGAAATGTGGGAAATGGATTTGTAGAGCATTCTCAAAGCTTGATAGAAGGCTCCCATAGTGTGCAGGTGTATGTAAACTTTGAGATAAGAAATGCTGACTTAGAAATGCCATGGAATAGGTCAGATACTGTTGAGAGATAAATGGAGCTAGAAACAAGAAGTGGAGCTAGAAACAAGTTTCAAAGGATGGCCTTGCGAATAAGACTTTGGAGAAACAGAACTATGAAAGATGCACTGGAGTAGGACCCATGAGGGGTAATTTTAGATAATTGGCTTTAAGGCATCTACAGCATGGTGTGGCAAAAACTGATAGGCCAAGAAATGCTTATAATGTGTTGTAATTAGGAAATAGTTCTGATTGTGATGGAGTGAAATAACGTCTGTATGGTCTCAGCCTTCTCATGAGACTGAAAATGGAATAAAAGTTTTTAATGTGCCTCTTAGTTGCCCCATCTCTGGGTCAGAACAAGGCATAATCCAACATCCAGGGATGGTGGAGAAGGGTGCAGGAAGCAGAGGTCACCTGGCTGGAAAACAGAGTGTCAGGAGTGTATTTTTGGTTGGCCTTGTTTTCCTGTCCAGAGGTGGGTCAGTCCAGGAGGTTTTTGAAAGACCCTGCACGATGTTCTGCTTTTAATGAACTCTGTGGGCTGCCAGGGGAGTGGTAGGGAAAATCTGAAGGGACTTTTGGAGCATATTTTGGGATGAAGCAGGAAATGATGGAGAGAGAGCAAGGAGGTGAAAACACAGAATTCCATTGACTTCCTTAAGATGATATTTAAGGGCTGGATGATCCTGTCATGGTAATAAAGTAAGAAATGAGGAGGAGCTCCGTGGGTATTCCAGATGCTTGGGTCCCTTTACCTGGGCTGGCTTTGCTGTTTTCCAAGAAAACAAAATATGGGGACAGTGATCCTTTCCAGGCAAGGTTGGCTTCCCACCCCAGTGTGGCCCAGCTGTTCTTCAGATGGAAGATCTGGGATTTTTCCAGTGCAATCTGCTTGGGTCAGGGGATTAAAATCTGGGAGATGACCCAGATCCCCCAGGAATGGATCCCTGGTACAGGGCAGGCTTCCTGCTCTCTTCAGGGGGATTTGGAGGAGCCTGCCCTCATCTTTCCTGGTACCAGAGCACCAGACAAAGATTGGGGTACAGACAAATCCTGTCCTCAGGGTGGTGCTTGGTACCTTTGAAATGGAACGAAAAATGGTCTGGGACCTCCTTTCTCCAGAGCTTGGTGCAGCTGTGGGCAGAACAGGAGGCAGAGCCAGTTTCCCTTTCTTTACAGAGGTTTTTGCAGATATTATTTTAGATTAGAAACCTTTCACCTGTGCTTCAAAATATCTGTATAAAGTGTAATATTATCCACAAGGACCATTCCTTCCTCTGGGATACCAGAAGGAGAGGGGTATAAGAGTTGTGTTCAGAGGTGACACCCAAAGGCTGGGGCAGCAGCAGGAGTTGCTGAGGGTCTTTTGTTGCTTTGAATGTTGTTGATGCCAAAGTCCCCAGGTGGCAGGTGAGTTGTGCAGGTGTGTTCCAGGTGGCAGTGAGTGACTGTCCCCTCTTCCCTCAGACACCACACGAACCCCGTGGGCACTGAGTGGCGGTGGAAGATGGACCAGCCTGAGCTGATCCTGCAGGAGGCCCTCGAGAAGCACCAGAACATGATCAGGCAGTTCAAAGGTAACTCCTCTGTCCCCACCCCTGGTGCTGTTAGAGGAGAATCTCCAGAACAGGTGAGAACATTCTGTTCCTCTGGGAAGGAGGCCTGAGGTTCAGGGTATCAAGAGATGGGGGAGAAGAAACTGCTGTGGCATGTTTAATGTCTTCTGGAATGAGGCTCAGCCACTGAGTGTGTGCTGTTTGGAGGGAGTAGAGTGGAGTTGTCTCTGGTGCATCCTGGTAGTTGTCAAATCCTTTCCCTTGGTGTGCACAGAGCCTTCCACAGTGGTTAAAGCCAGCCTGGATGACTGGGGATCCTGGCTCCTCTGGAGGAGTGAGGGCAGGTAGGAAGCAAAAGCAATCAGCCTCTTACGTGACAGGAAATACACTGCCAGCCTTAACACCCAGCTTTGTGTTAGCCCTGGAACTTCTGGGTTGTGTTTGTCTCATGAATAATGAAACAGCAGCAAGCAGGGGATTTTTATATTCAGGAATTATTCAGTACATGTGGTTGTGACTGAAGCTGCAGTTCCACCTCTGGAAAGCACTGCAGCTTGCTTCCCACAGAAATTCCCTGCAAGTTTGGTATTCTGTGTCTATAACTGTAGAGAGGGCTGGGGGTTTTATTTCCCAAATGTGATGATCTGGTTGCTGTGCCAAGGTCAGCTGTGTGTGCTGGCAGGGCTGGCCACCTTGGCGGGACAGCTCCAGGGTTCTGCTCTCCCCAGTTGCCTTGAGCAGCACAAATGGAGTGGAACAGCCATAAAATGTGTAAGATGAGCCCTGGCCTTGGCTGTCATTTTGGGAACCCGGTTGTTTAGGTTGTCTGTGCTCAAAGAGAATCCAATGGATCCAGCATGAGACAGGCACAAAGCCCTTCTGTCAGCAGAGCAGAGCTGCTCTGTCTCAATCTCTGCAGTTGGATAATGGGTGGAAAAATAGCTCAGGTTAGGGCCCCATGGGCTTCATTCTCCTCACGTGGCTGGTTTGGAGTAGCAGCTCCAGTGAAGCCTCACTCCTGAGCCTGGGGTTTCTTTGGCACTGTGTCAAACATCCCCTGCCCTAGGGGATGGTGGTACTGAAACAGCCTCAGCAGATCTGCAGGGAAATTTGGGGGGCGGCGGGTAAGAGGCACACTCATGGCAGGGCTTTACCCCAGGGGCACCTGGAGAAGCAGCATGGTCAAGCCAATGGATGCATGGAAGGGGCTGAGCCCCAGGAGCAGCTGAGGGAGCTGGGAAGGGGCTCAGCCTGGAGAAAAGGAGGCTCAGGGGGGACCTTGTGGCTCTGCACAGCTCCTGACAGGAGGGGACAGCCACGGGGTTCGGGCTCTGCTCCAGGGAACAGGGACAGGAGGAGAGGGAACAGCCTCAGGCTGGGCCAGGGCAGGCTCAGGGTGGATTTTGGGGAAATTCCTTCCTGGAATTCATTGTCCAGCCCTGGCACAGCTGCCCAGGGCAGTGGTGGAGTCCCCACCCCTGGAGGGGTTTAACAGCCCTGTGGCACTTGGGGACATGGGGCAGTGGTGGCCTTGGCAGTGCTGGGGGAGGGTTGGGACTCGATGATCCTGGAGGTTTTTCCCAGCCTGAGTTATTCCTTGGTTCTGAGCACTGGGAGGTTCTGAAGGAGATCAGATCTGTCCATGCTGGAGTCCCATCTGACTGTTGTCCCTGTCCCCAGAGCAAGGGACAACAGACTTGGTTTCTGTTCGGGAGGGTGAAGTTACACATCAAAACGAGTTTGTTCAGCCAGGGTGAGGCCTGGTGCAGTGGGGACCCTCCAGCCCTGGAGGCTTTCAAGTCTCCAGAGAAGAGCCATTATCACCCTGCACTGAGGAATAACCTTCTGACCCTGCTGTCTTCCCAAAATGGGCTGAGGAGAGGGGATGATTATGGATAGACTTTTCAGCATCTGAAATACTGCTGAAGTGTCAGGGGCCTGTCAGGACATCCCACTTCTCTCTTTTTGGAGCCTATTTTTTTGTTAAACAAATTCATAAATATTACTCAGAATGTGCCTGTGCATCTGAGCACAGTTACCCTTGATCTGGAACTGGGAAAGGAGACAACAGAAAAGCTCTGGACTAGAACTGTGCTGTAAAGTGGGAAAATAAAGGCTGGTTTATTTTTCTAGTGCTAGATGGCAACATTCCTGTCCTAGCTGCTGTGAGTCAAAGGTTTATTAAGGAGAAGAAAAATTGGTAAGAAAAGCCCAGGAGCTCCTGCTCCATGTAGTGAATTTTACATCATTCTTCCCTCAGGTGTGTGGGGAAGTGTTGTTAGAGTGGAAGCAGCAAAAGCCAAATTGAGCAGGAGCAGAGTGAGTGAACTGAGCTGGGGACAGGCAAAGGTTCAGCTCTGGCAAGAGCAGAGTCCCCCTGTGCAGTGCCAGGGTTGGAGGAAGGAGCCTGGCTTCTCCAGCCAGCCCAGCAGCTCTGCACAGGCACCAGGAGCCTTTACTGGGATTGATGTTTGAGGAAAACACCAGCAGAAGCACAGGAACCACCTGCTGGAGCAGTGAGGTGGTCCCCAAGTGGCTGTGGGGAGGGGAGGAGGGGTTGTGGCTGGGCTCTGTCCCCTGTGCTGGCACTGCTGGGGCACCTCCAGTCCTGGGCACCTCCAAGAAAGACAGCAAGGAGCTGGGGTGTGTCCAGGG